AACCAAACAAATGCTTGTTCTCATGAGAACTGTCATAACATGTAACTTAATACATGAGGACTAAATTCTGCGGTCATAAGAGGAGAAGTAGGCTCATCTGATTTTATCAAAACTAATTATTACATTTGTTTTCTCCAGATGCACCTACTCTTTAGTCAATCATATTGTTACATCTTCAGGAAATGTATTTAATTTCATGCTGAAACACAAAGGGCAAACACTTAAATTTTTACACCTGGGTAAAAAATCTTGCGTTCTGATTAATTTCTTTGGTTGGTCAGAGGTTAGAGACAGGGCTCAAAGGCTCCATCTTCAAATATCCTGCCAACATCTCTGCTTTTTCACACAGCGCAGAGCGGTCAGCGCAGAGGGCGCAGGCAGCACCACGAGGCGGAAACAACACAATCCTCCAATGTCAGAGCAGAGTCTCACCGAAGTAGGAGAAAAAGTGAGGAAGGTTATGACAAGGCGTATTCTGAACTAAATAGAATTCCTAAAAGCAGGAGTTTGTGAAGCAAAGCGAATTACTTTCACAGATACTATTTCTGCGAAGAACAGGGACACGTTATGATCACGGGGCCTAGCAAAGGTGTGTAATCTGGGATCAGGTCGCTATCTTCTGTGACCTCTGTACAGTGGTGTCAATTTATGTGATTTATTACAGCCTTGCTTGCCAGGCAGGGAGCGACAGCCATGGAGGGACACTCCAATGCTGGGTGTGCAAGATAAAAAGTTGACAAGGCTGGGGAAACCATGAAAAGCAAACACAAATTGCATGCTTTTTTCTTTTTCTGTTTGGAAAGAATTCTGATCCAAATTTAAACTAGCCACACCAAAAGCATGCTTAATGTTTTATATGTGAAACCAGTTGGGACCTGGGACCCTCTTGTCAAGAGTCAGAAGGGCAAGCTGGAAGGGGTGTGTGGGTGGGGGATGGAAGTGGTTATTTATAAACTTAAATTTGTAAGTGATCTCTCTGAAGTTAGCAGATTTCGATATTCTATGCAAACTAACATGGCCACAGAATCTCACCAGTCAAAATACTCTGCATTAGCATGACTTTAGTTAAAGGATCTCAAAATACCGTCTTGAGAAACAGCCCCACTGGACAGCTTACTTATGAAAGGAAGAAATACATTCTCTTTCCCTTATGCCTAAATCCCCCCCTCCTTTATTTAACTCACTTCCTTGTGTGGAGGAGGAAATATGGAACCAGGGCTGAAAGGGGCTATGTGTATGGGAATCAATGCCAATGTCTAAGCAGCCTAAGGCAGAAGTGAGGGTGCCATCTTTCAATAGATGGCTTTCTCAAGGGGAAAGAAACACACCCATCAACACCCTCCACCTGTACAAGCATGGAAAAGGTTCTCTCCAAAGGAGGTAAAATGGAGATTTACTGGGTTGTGGAAAAATGAAATGTGACCCTCATATCAAAATTTTAGCTCTCATGCAAAGGGAAGGAGATAAAAGAGGAGAGAGGGTAAAATTCCTGCGCCAGAGGACACTCGCTGACCTAACTTAATGCATGTTATACTCACTTTGCTTAAATACAGGACAGAATGCACCGGTATCTTAGTGCACTTTCCCACCAACAAAACTACCTGTCCTAATCACAGGCAGAGATACAGTTCTGGAGACATACACAACAGGCAATGGCCAAGGTCAAGGCTGCAAAGATAACTCAGATGTGAATGATGCAAATAACAAATACACCACGATTTCAAAAATAAGAATGGACCGTTATAGGCTGTGTGCCTGCACATGACATATAGTGAATATGGCTAATTTCAAGAGCCACATGGACGTGAAATTGCTTGATGTTGAGCTTCAATAGTAAGCATTAATCCACTTGTAAAGAACCTACTGTACTGTTCTAGAAACTTGGATAGTGGAGTGACAACTGAGATCCCTGCCCTCACGGAGTTTACAATTTACCACAGGACTAGGCAATACACAGTAGACATAGTAAGTAAATGAACGTTGAGATAATAAAAACTTTGCAAAAAAGGGGCAGGTTGCCACATGAAGTAACGTGAGCAGAGCCAGACTCCACGAGAAAAATTTGAGCAAGGTGGGAAGAGTGGGTGGGGCAAAGGGATGTCTGAGGAAGAGTGTCCAAGCAGAGGGGACAGAGCACAGCCCCGAGGTGGGCGGGGGCAGGAGACGGCAGCAGAGGGCCAGCTGCCTTTCTCGAGCTTTATTTTCATCACACACCCCTGCTTCATTACACTAAACAGGGATGCAGTTCATATTTACTGAATTACTTAAATTCTAGCAAATACAAGATTAGCCAATACACAAATGGTATCCAAACTATAGGCTAGAGCTTCATAAGAAAACGAACACAAAATGTATTGTTGGAACATATGAGTATACTTTCCTGAGAGGAGTTGTAATTCAGATTCTTAAATGGGCTTTTTTGACTCTTCCCCCTCCTCCCCTCCCCCAAAGTTATACATCACAGCTTTATTTCCAGGAACATACAAGGAAAGTGGAAAAGTGGGTTCTATTATACAAGGAGGAATCCTTCACACAGAATCTACTTTTGGCCAGAGTCTAAGGACAACTTTCTTCTAAAAACAGAGAAGGTAGCAAGCAGAGAGTACAAGGTGCACATGATTAGTAGGTAGACAGGCCCCAGCACCCTGTTTTCCCCATGTCCCTTACAGGCGTGTGCCAACAGTCCTCAGGGCACTGGCTCAACAACAGAGACCTGCAGGCAGTCCTCAGACCTCAGGGGTCACCGCCTAATAAAATAAAGGCAGTCAAACATGAAAAACAGGCTAAGTCACATGGGGGGAGTAAAAGGAAAAAAAGGGCTAAAGAATTCAATTACAGTAAGAGAAAAGAACTACCCTTTCTCATCTTCACACACTGTGTCACTGCAAAAGCTTTTCAAATATATACACGCTTAGGCAAAAGAAATCAAGAGTCCCTTAGGTTTCAACATCTAAATTAGGCCTTAGAACTACTTTCCATCAATCTGACATGTATCTAGCAGGAGCTACCAAATTCTCATCTCATAGGAATCATATTTAAATCAGAATGCAAGATTAACATTTCCAGAAATCGAATGTTTAATACTACATTCCCTGCCCAATACCCCCAACACTGTCTTTTCAACTTCTCGATTATTCCTAATTTCTCATTTACATTCAGACCTGTTCTTTCTAATCCTTTAATGCATGTTATCATGGGTCTCTTTCTTAAATTCTGCTAAAAATTGTCATCTTACTCTACATTTCTGTGATTAAAAAAAATTTAAAAAGCTGTTAAAATTTCAATTGTCACATTACATAAGGAAGAATTATAAAAGAGTTTAAGACCTAATAAGATCATTTTTCTTTAATAAAAAGACTTGCTTTTCTGTATAGTATATCTAAAACCAGTTATCAAATGCAATTTTGTTTAGAAATTATTTTTATAAAATCTTTTTGTCGCTAACATTGATGATATCTCTTCCCACCTTTTAAATAATCTTTTCTAATCCAACTCAGATATAGTTACGTGCTGTAATCTTTTGTATTCTGGAATAAATTAAATCATTTTTCCTTTTGAATTAACCTACTTATTTATAAGGACGTATTTTTAACTTATAGTCTACGGCCATACCACCCTGAACGCGCCAGATCTCGTCTAACTTATAACACATGAAGTCAAATTAAAAATACGTATTTTGACGGAAAAAAACAAGTGTGTATATACCTTTGATTTGCTAAGCGCGACTATGCAAAACACAATGGTTGACAAAATTTGTGTGTGTGTGTATCAAGATGTCAACTCACCTGAAAAAAAATTAAATTTTGCTTTTGAACTGTAGAATAAAACATACTTAGACATTTTTGCAAAGTACATTCATTAAGCCAGTATCTCTTCTGAGCTGGTGGGAGAGGGGAAAAAAGCCCTGTCCTTCAGGCCTCCTTAGTCAATTCTTTGACTTTTACAAAATGTCCCCAATCCTATTATTACTAGACAGTAAAAGGGAGAGCTATTTACCCTTGCTTTCTGCTTCTTACTCTCATTACCTCATTCATTTTTGCTAGAATAAGCCAACATGTATGAAAGCCTAACAGTTTCTCTTCCAGAAACACATTGTGATGCTCCAGTCGAGTTCTACTCAATGTGTAGCCACTGCCACTGAGGCCACCTGTTTTAAACATACCTTTCCATACCTTTCTCAGTCTCGGAGGGGGGAAAAAGTTACACAAGGGTAAAAAAATGCTTGAAATTTACTAGTGGAGAAATGAATTGACAAAGCTGGTAAGAGCAAAGCTGAGTGAAAGGCTTGTCTCTGTGTGAAATTGAACAGGAAAAAGAAATCCTTAAACGAACAGCTGTGCACAAAGCTCAAATGTGGACCATCTCCAACAACAATGGGTGGTTTCTGAGTCAAGGTGGTTTCCATTTACGAAAAGCATTCAGTTATCTTTTCCTCCCTTGCAGGCCAGGCACGCTACAGGCACTAATGCTACGTACGACATTGCCCACGAAGAAAGAGAACTCCCTCTACGTCTACACTAACTGCAGGACTGGGTTTCGGCCCCAGGCCCAGTGTTCCTGGGGAGGAAACCAAGGGGCGGGCACTGGGTTATAAAAACAAGAGTTTCTTCTCCCCTGAGTTCTGTGGCCGTTTTATTACTCTCTATATTTGTCCATAAAAATCATACTAATGTTAAATATACTTATAGTAGATTTACCCTCTATTTTCCTAAAAATAATTATTTAAACATATAATACCACTTAAAAGAATAAGAAAGCAGTAAGTATTTAATTCAATGACAACTACGAAAGTAGGGTTTAAAGACACTCACTAAACAGGTTCTCAGATACCATCTCCCTATTTATAACTAAATCCTCACTCCACAAACACAAATTTCTAGTTGTGTAACGACTGGTCAAGCTTTTATGAACCATATATAAGTTCAGGTAAAGTTGTCGAAATGTCCTCTGCCCAGAGTGTTTCAGCTCAAGCCATTAAGCAATCGCTCATCAATACTGACCTTGTTGCTCACTTTCTGCTTCAGTTTTCGAAGAACCTGGTGCAACAGGAAGGGGTCGAGGTGGCCGGGGCTTTGGGGTGGGAGGTGAGATTTTTTTCCTTCCAATATATTCTACGTAAGTTCCTGGAAAGTCCCCTCTCTCCCCTGTGGTTTCATTGTAGCCATTTAACCAGCCAATCTCTTCAGGCCTGGCTTCCTGTCCATCACTGAATCCAAGAGCTACTAAGGACCCCTTATTGACCGTCAATATATCACCCAAGTGCAAGTCAATATCTTCTTCTCGTTCCTTTTTATAGTCATACAGTGCTCTGTACTGGTACGCCTCGGCACTCATGTTTGCAAACCTGTGACCATGCAACAGGTGAGTCTGGTTACACACTGCAGTCTAGCTTTACGTTTCTAGGGAACGTGAACTCAGAGAGTGTGTTAGGATTCCTAATATGTGCCCAGCAGAGGACAAAGGACAACTCTCCAAAGGTTTAAGAGAGGTGACTGGCCATTGGCTGTCCATCTGTCCTCCATCAATGGTGCAACTGAAGACAGGGCCACACTTCCTCTGCAGGCCACGGTCCTCCAACTGGCTTCCTTCTCAGCAACTCGTCAACACTTGGACTCCAGGCTGACTCTCCCAGCGAGGCCCAATCCTTTCCGACACTCTCGTCACATTGTCCATCTGTCGTCTGATTTTACTGTTGTACTCTACACGCGAGCTTCACCTAGCAAAGGAAAAACAAGACTTATGAATGAATTATCACGCTCTGCCATCTGTCTGCATTTGAATTTCTACTTCCATTCAACAAGTACTTAATCAGTTTGGCGGTTGTACACGGGCCAGCATGCTATTGCTTGACACAGTATCGACAGCAAAGATTAGTGAGACAGTCCCTGCCTGCAAAGAGCACCCGGCAGGGGTGGAAGGGGTGCTGGCATGTGGCAATGCCTCAGAGATAAGATTGGTATACAAGGAAATGATACACAATAACATTAGGTAAATGCCAGAAGACAGCAGAGACTAAACCCTGTGGAGTTCAAAGGAGGGAGAGACAACATCTAACAGCAGGAACCTGAAGACAGAATGGAATGTGTGGCATGACCTTAGATACAGATGTGACTAAGCAAATACCATATTCTGGAAAGAGCTAGAACAGGGAGCCCAATCTGGAGACAAAGAGGGAGACTCACATTTTTTTTTTTTTCTGAAGATTTTATTTTATTTTTAGACAGAGGAGAAGGAAGAGAGAAAGAGAGGGAGAGAAACATCATTGTGTGGTTGTCTCTTATGCACCCCCTACCGGGGACCTGGCCTGCAACCCAGGTAAGTGCCCTGACTGTGAATCGAACCAGCAACCCTCTGGTTTGCAGGCCAGGGCTCAATCCACTGAGCCACATCAGCCAGCTGACTTTTGAGAAAGCAGACTTAAGTCTATTAGTATGGAGGAGAGTAACTAGAATTTAAGGAGTTAAGGAACGGAAGAAGTAGAGATGGTTACTGCAGATTACTCTATGAAGATAGCTTAGTGGTGGGAGAAATGGGAAATGAAAGTTTTTTTTTCTTTTTTTAACATAGTAGAGACAGAGGAATTAGAGTAAAAAATTCTCTAAGTTAGTAAGTTCACATTGGATTGCCAATAGGAAAGTGTGCACATGTATACACTTTATGCACTACATTCATTTTCACAGTTATCTGTATTATAAAGAGGCAAAGCAACCTAAAAGTTTCAGTTAAACTGACTGAATAATAAGGCAATAAAATCAATAGCCACACAATTTCTGTGTGCTATATCAAAGAGAGCTTGTATAATTTTTACAGAGTGGAACAAGTCTAATATTGTAGGCACTCTTCAGTGTAGGCATCTTAAGAAGCAAAATCTAATCACAGAGTAATTGTTATATCGGCATTCAGAAGTGTAAAGTATTCAACTTTACATGGCTAAAGCCTCTTAGCTGTAATATAATAACACTTTAAGGAGAGTTACATATTAAAAGAAGCAAAAACAAACACTGGAAATCTTTGTGTAGCAAGAATATTCATTTGGGTTAGTATTCTACTTTGTATTTCAGTTGTCAGAGAAAAAAATTAAAGCAACCAGTAGAGTGGATAAAAAAAAATAAACTATATTATGTCTGAAGACAGCCTCTCTTTTTGCTAGATCCAGAATCAAATTAAATATTCACTGCATAAATTCATACAAAAATGCAGACTTAGCAAATCTCATTTTTAGTACAAATGTACTCTGTAGAAATGAGACACAGAGCTCTAAAGAATATAAAAATTTACATATCCATAAACGCCTGGAAACTAGGCAATAATGCAATTCCTCCAAATCTGCCTTAAAATTTTTGTTAGCTTTTCCAGGTAGTGTATGTCTTTTTTTGGGTGGGCGGGGGGGAATCCTCAACCAGTAGGCTGGTAGATCTTCTCTCCAGCTGAAGCCTATGACTTCCTCTATTTCAACAACCCAGTAGGCCAGTGTGGTCAGATTCTTAATAGAGTTTCAGCAATCACCAAGCCCCTGCTCACCACATACCTATGCAGCTACACATGTTGCTCACCAGGGGACACTGTAGTAAGAAAGGCTTCATGTCTGGTCAAGATATTACAAACCTGAAAATTGTGCTTATGTCAGCCCGAGGCTAAATTTCTGCAAAGACCAAAATAACCCTGAGGAACCTTCTCGCTTTAATGAGGCCAGACTCTAGAGTAGCAATCTCTACCATATGTGCCAGAGACTCCCCGAATGTTTCAACAAATTCCCCCTCCCTCACCATTTGCAAAAAAAAAAAAGTCTTACTGGACTGTGTAAGATATATCCTGTCCAGAACTCTGGGCCCCAGTCTGATGAAAAGAACCCCAGATCATCTGTGACTCCAGGACTGGGAGCAGAACACACCATTCCTGTCTTCTGGGACTCCACCATCAAGGCCAGGGAGATCAATCAAAACAATTCAAGATCGGCCAGGATTCAGTGCCAATTAAGTGGTTGGAGAGCAATGTTGTAAGAGAAGAGGGAAGAGTTGACTAGTCACTTGGGTGACGACTGGATCATGTCCTAGGGAGAGGTACACAGTGTTCTTGGCTAAGAAGAGGCAGGCACCGCTATCCTACTACACACTGCACACTTTCTCCTGACTACCAGGCCCATTTTAATGACTGTCATTGTTATCGTGGTCACCACCTGATACTTACTGGGGAGCTGTTCAGTCATCCTATTTGTTGGGAGCCATAAGTGTATTAACACATCCAATACAATAAAATTAACACATTCAACATCAAGATAATCACAAGGCAGGTACTATCAGTAATTCTTACTTTATATGGGAAGAATTGAGGTGCAAAGAATTTCGTTTCTTCGCCATGATAACACCAAGAAATTGACAGGTGGAACCAGGATTCAGATCCAGGCAGTCTGGCTCCAAAGCCACCACTAGAATTTCTTGCCCAAACTCAGCTTGCTTCGATGCCCAAGGGCAGCCCAGATATGTCCATGAGGTCAGAGATGCAGATTCCTTGCCCGCACACTCTGACCTGTTTCTTACTCTCTGTGACAGCAGCCTTTCTGCTTGTATGTATGCCTCTTTCACAAATACACCTGCATAAAAAGAAGCCATGATAACTCAGCAGCAGTTCAGTCAAGTCCCAGACCCCGCATCTAGGACCATGCAAATCTCCTTCCAAAGAGACTTCCTTAAAATGCATCCTTGCCAAAGAAGTCCATAAACTACTGAATAAAAGAATACGAGGCACATCACTCCTGGAAGGCTGCCCATTTCTGGAATCCTGCCCATTTCTGCTCTGTGCGCTTAAGCTTCTGCCACCTGTATCCCTCTTGGCATCTGTGCCCCCCGTGGCTATCCCAGGCTCCGAGCTGCACAATTCATAAAAACTCAGTTCCCCCTTAGCGGGGTGTGTGAAGTATCAATCCCCAGTCACAAGGGCTAGCACATCTGGAGGTCTGACAAGTTCTCTTTTCTCTCAGCCTCCAATTCTCTGCAGGAATGCAGAAGACTGAGCAGCCTCAGGCACTGGCGAATACTGCGTCATCCTCCAAAGATCCACGGACCAAGTGGTCAGATCCGCGGGGTCTGTGTTGCCCAGATTCACAAGATTTTGCCTCCAGTTTCTTTGGCTACGTACACCTGTCCACTGCACTATTTCCACTCAGCACTAACAAAGTTATTCACAAAGTAAAAGTTTGTTTGTATGTGGATGATATCCACCACCCATAAGTTAATGTTTTCAAATAACCAAGGTGCTGTTTGTTATGAGATCTAGTCTCCAAGCTAATGCCTATGTATGTTGCTGTATCAAAAGGTATAAAGGAAGCCTAAGAACAAATAACAAATTAACTTACTCTTATTTAACATATGAACAGTTCAAAATTTCCTTAAAGGGGAATGAGTTTGCTCCACTCTTTCAATCCTTCTAGAGACTACCCGCAATACTGTTAACTGGAAGTCTTATTTCCTCTCTCCACTAAGATACTGAGCAATTCTCATTCTGTTCCTCAAAATAAATGTTGTTTCTGATGCCTGACAAGCAGTGACCATGACTTCTTAATGTACAACTGCTTGAAAGTAAAATTTCAATTTAACCCTATAACCTACAGGCATTTTGGCAAAGAACCAAACAAAATTCTTTGAAAAGTCCTTTGACTTTGTTGACTTACTCATTCCCCTTTTACAAAGGACAAGGATTTAGCAAACTTGGTGAGAGGCTGGAATAAAGGATATTTTTAAATCCCTTTAAATAAATCAAGACTATATCCTGATCATATGATTCTATCCTGCGATAAAATTAGCAGTTTGGCACTGGGTCTCAGCACAAAATGGGCCTGCAATCCAGATGCAAAGGCTGTGGAGGGGTTCCCAGGCCCCCAGCCTTACCCACCCCCACATCCCATCTCGCCATCCTCAGTGTGCTAGCTCTGAGTCTAGGGCAAGCTCCTCACCTAAATTCACATTGTCTTTAACAAACAAAAATCATGACTTAAAAATCTTTTCACTTTTCAGATACGTCCTGAAAAATCATAAAAAAAAAAAAAACTGAACCAAAGTTAAAATTTCTTAGTAAACATAATGAACTTTAACTTTAAATGATGCATTCTGGATACATTTTATGGCACATGAATTTTATCGTAACTAAAACAAAATTTAAAAGATGGGATCAGGTTAATCCTGAAGTCACAGTCATCAACCATCTCCATTCATTTTCAAACCAACCAGAACGTGCTGCCAGCTGCCATGCTCGGGGCTGAGCTGCTGCTGGGGGAAGCAGGGCGTCCAGGGCAGAACTCCGGCCTGGAAGCCCTTTTGGAGGTGGGGGCCCCGGACAAACCCAGGTGAAACAACAAGGAAGGATCAGGAGGCAAGGCTATCCAGAAAGCAAAGCGGTGGCCTGGCGCCAGAGCCTGCAGGAGGTGCAGAGGAGAGAGACCCAGGCCCAGCTGGAGGCAGCTCTTAGGCTCAGAGGTCATCACCTGGAGGAGAGAAGAAAGGCTCCTGCAGGCACTCAGGCCGCAGCTTCCCGGCCCGAGCAGACCTGAGCAACATGGGTTCACCCTGCAATGGCCATCAGGCTGCCCACTCGAGCTCGCCGCGCCATCACGGAAAGGAGGTCGTGAGGACACGCCAAGGAATGAGAGGACAGAAGTACATAATCTAAGTCCCTTCTCTTGTTAAAAAACAAAAGCACTAAGCTTCAGACTCAGCAGCTGTCCCCATCAGTGCCTAGATTTTTAAATTTGGGCAAAGTTAGTTAAACCTCTGTGTGGCACAATTTTAGCCTCTGTGAGATAGATACGAAGAAAGCAGCAAACCTATCGCTCGCAGGGTTATTATGAAATTATATTAAATTGCATATATAAAGCTCTGACCTCCATTCTTGATCATCAGAGCTGAACAATTATAACTGACACAGTGCTTACCACAAGCCAGGCTCAGTACTTAAAGAGTTTTGTGCCTGTCAACTCATTTAATCCTTATGAACACCCTAGGTTCAATTATTATCCCCATTTCACAGATGAGAAAACAAGCAGAGAAGTTAATTAGACTGAAGTTACATAACTGGTAAGTTGCAGCTATGGTATTATTACTTTTGCTACTACTGTTAGTAGTAGTAGTATTGAATGACCCTGCTATTTATACAATTCCCATTTAAAAACAGGAACATTTGCCAGCAATTTTCTTTTGCATTGTCTCTACATGCTGCAAACGGTTCTACATGAATTCTGAAGCTAGCCAAAATAAAACTCTCTCTGCTGTCCCCTTAACTCCTTTTCAGAGTAAACAGATAGACACAAATAGATAAAGGCTGCCTGCGGACTTTGCCCAGCCAGTAGTCTCCCTACCTGACATAGAGGGTGTCTCTGCAGAGGTCAGAGCAGAAGAGTCTCAGGAGGCAGCAAGGGTGTGTGAGTGTGTCAGGTAGGAGATGGAGTTAGCAGACAACACTGGGCTCCAAGAGGGTTTGGTCGCTGCTCCCTAGCTGTCTGGAACAGAAAGGATGAGGGCACTAACGTAATCCTCCTGGGGCTGAAGGCAGCAGAGTCCTCACGTTACAGCCCCACCTCTTGGGGCTGAGCCCTGGGTCTGGACCACTGGGGTCCAGGAGGGGGCAAAGGGCAAGGCACAATGGCCCAGGCACCTGGCTTTATAAAGTACTCCACCCACTGGTGGAGTCTCCTTACATTTTGGCCAGATTCCTGTGTGACTTAAATAATAGGGGGAGGAGGAGGGGTTTGTTAACCTGAAAACTATTTTGACTACAGGTGCCTGTAGGTATTTGATTTACTTTAAGAAAAACAATGCTGGGAAGATAAAATCTCCAAAGATGTAAATTGTGGGTTTTTTTTGTTTTGTTTTTTAGCAAAATCTATACTACACTCATTCTACCATTAAAAAAGAAAAACTAACAGAAGCCAAATAGACAAGTTTATGGGTCATTACACACTCTATTTTTCAGCTCATCTGGCATAATGTACATAAAATGGCTTTTAATTGCCACACTTTTTGGCAAGTAATTCCCATAAGAATGTTAGCAGAATCATGGCAAGTAATCACAGTAGGGGATATAGGTGAAGGAGATTGCGGGGGGGGGGGGGGGGTAGTAAATAATATAAACATTTTAAAAACTAAAAACAAGCTAAGTATTTGGTTAAGAAATGTTATATAATTTATATTATGTCTTCTAAGGCAAAAACTAATTGGTAAACCCCTCCTTCCATTAATAAGTAACTTTCTCACCTTCTTAGGGCTTCACTAAGATGCTCCGTTCTCTTGCCTTCACTGGCAAATCCCTGTGCCCTCCAGAAAAGGGAGATCTGTGAGGAGCCTCTCTAAAATGCATAGTGCACTGAAAAAAAGCACTTCCCATTTTCTCTGCATTGTGTACGCCCCAGATGTGGGAATTAAAAGCAAAACCCCAAATGCAAACATTATCTCAGCTTTCTACGGTCTACGTGACCATGAAATATTTTTCAATCTGTTTGTGCACCATCTCTATATTCAATAAAACACATTTTGCAAATTACAAATTGCAAGCACAATAAAAGTTGAACTAGAATTGTTCCTACTTCAATGAACAGTCCTTCAGAGTATGCCTTTTTAGAACACTCCCCTAAACTACCTAAGGAAAAAGGTTTCGACCAACATACTAACCTAAAAGTTACATGGCATTCATGGAAAAATTTAATTAAATGTTTGGCCAACACTTTTAACAACACAAAATTTGGGCAAGTGCAGTAGGTTTGCATTTGAGATACAAAACTCTTCTAAAGGATCAGCTGTTCAATGGATAATCCCAGCAGCTAAATGCATACTACCTTCACCATTGTCAATAACCAAAATATGTATTACTATAATTTACTGTATCACTTGTTTCCCAAAACCGACCTTATGCTATGGGGATTTCCTAATCTTAATAAATTTCTATTTCAAGAAATAAAGGTAGATAATAAATCAATGGGAAGTGAAATGCTTTTTTTCACGCTTGCTGTCACTGTCACATTTTGCTGTCATTGTCACAGATGTGAAAAAACAGTGATATCATCATTTTACAAAATTAGATATAACAGCAGATAATAGTGTGTATATTGCAGAGCTCTGTTATGCAACTGGCAAGAACAGGCCACTAATCAAGATGAAAGTTTAAAAAAGCAAATGCACTTAACGCTTTGAAAGCTAATATCAGATACATACAACTTTCTTGCAATCATAAAAATCTATACACTTCCACAGAAAAAGTACCACTCTCCAACTGGCATGTGAATAGAGAGGCGGCCAGCAGTGCCCTGATCCAGCTTCTGCAAGACAGGCAGTCTCCTCCCCTGGCCTTCCCAGTTTAAACCTTGAATGTGAACCAAACACACCTTCCCAAACTTTAGAGGGACCACCCCTCAAAATCACTCTTAGGGTATTTTCTTTGTAGTGATCAAAATATTTGCTTCCTAAAGTTTAAGCAAATTTTGTTCCTAAAAAAAAAAACCCCATCATCTTCTGCTTTTAAACTGGTTATTTCAAGAACAGTGCAATCTGTCAAAAAATTATAGCTGGGAGACAGTGGGGCTTTTTATTTTCTTTTTCAACGATAAAAGATGTGTGTGGACTTCTGTGCAAAAGTCACCAAATTCCCAATGATTTACACCTTGAAGTTGCATTACTCTGATAGCCTGCCTCAGAAATGAACCTGTTTACCTACTCCAACCATTCCTAGCTAATACCTCACCGTGTTAACTGTGCTAAAACGCAACACAAGGTAATGAAATATTAAAATACAATTCCACATTAAGTCTGGGTCAATAAGCTTTGTGAGTGTCCCGTCTAACAACTAAAAGTTGAAATGACACACTGAAATGACAATCTCATGCTGCATTCAAAACCCGGAACTGCTTCATCCATTCGTACTTCGTACTGACAAAGAGGAAAAGGACAGAAAAAAAAAAAAATCTTATGGCTTCTAAAATCCTAAACCCCCACCCCCCAAAAGTAAACTCACACTCAGGTGCCAACAGCGCCGCAGCTCAACTAGGATTCACGGTGATAGTGAGCCCTTTTCGATATTAACAGCGCCCAGAGAAGCATAAGAATGTCCCCCAATCCAGTTCATGCACATTCTGCATTCAACATGTAACAGCCATTCCGCTTACATCCTTACATTTCATGCTCGAATTCTGGTTACCAAAGTACATTTCTGGACTGGATTGGTTGGCCTGAGCTTTTCAGTTCTCTTTGTCTAGTGATCTGCGGGGCAGTTTCTGCCCTTGGGAAGTGAGTATTAGAGCTGTGGTTTCCAGACTGTTCCCCACGATATTTTAGCTCAGGCTTGCATGCTCTCTTGCTCTCCCTAACCGGCTCCATATTGCTGAGCAAGTCCCTTCAGTCTCGCCCCGCGTTACAAAAAGCTGGATTTCCGGGCTGTTCCAAGACCCCATTAAACGTGTCTCCAGCAACCTGCCCAGGCCCGGCCGGCACAAGACGCGGAGTTGGGGCCCCAGCGATCAGCAGCCCCGAGGCGCACTTCCTCCACCCCGGAAGAGGAGGGAAGCAAACTTCGGGGGGTGGGGGTGGCTGGTAGCGAGCGGGGAAGGGCCGGAGTAGCGACCCTGGTTTGCAGCTGGAGGGCGAGGAGGAAGGCATCGCTCCCTCCCGCTAACGCAAAAGCATTGGTCAGGAAGCTCTCCTCCGCTGAAGGGCCCCGGAAAACTGCAGCAAGGCGACAGTGGTTGGAACATCAGAACTGTGCGGGGAAAGAACGGTGGGGGAAAGCCGGAGATCTCCCGCAACTCCGAGGACGGATGCGCCCGGCGGCAGGCAGAGCCAGCTAGAAAGGACCGGCAAACAGGAGCCAGAACGTTGGCCACAAGCCGGGCCCGGGGCGGGAGGGAGATGCCGCCGGCTCGGAGGACAAGCGGCCGACCGCTTTCCTCTCGCTAGGCTCCGCTGAAGAAGCCACTGGTGGTGACAGGAAGAGAGCGGCGACAGCCGCGCGCGCACGCACCGCCTCCCCCTCCCGACCACACACACCCGGACCCGCTGCCACCGCCTACCTCCCCTGCTGGACGGCTTCCTTCCTCTCCCGGGGCCGGACTGCAGTGGCGGCCTCCTGCACGCACCGCTCCGATGCGCCTCTGACCCACCTCCCACCCACCGGCGTTCCCGATCCGAGCTCGCCGTCTCCAACCCGCTCGCTCGCCGCCGCAGCCTCGGTTTCCTCCAACTCCGCTCCAGCTGCTCACGACTCCTCGCCGTCAGCCTGCAGCTCAGGCGCTCAGCGCCGTCCCCGCCTTCGGTCCAGCCCCGCGCGCCCCGCCCCCGAGCCCGCGCCAACCAGCGCCTGTGTCTCCGCCCCTCTCCGCTGGCGCCGCGCCCTCCGCCGCTGCCATTATCGGAGCCCGCCTCCCAACCCGGCAGCCAGGGGGCGGAGCTCCGCCCCTGCGGACCCTTCCTGTCGCCCAACTCGTCTGCCGCCCCAGCTCGCCATCCACCCCCGCCGCGGGAATGCCCTGGCCGCTGGGTTGCGCGTTACCTCCGCTGTGGAGCGCTCTGGGTTTGAGTCCTCCGGGACGGCGAGGCTGCTGCTCGCCTGCGGTGGAGCCGGCTCGACTGCTGGGCGTCTCCCAGACCGGAGACAGCGGGGCTGGAGGAGGCCGAGAACAAGTTCAGACTTAGAGGCTGAGTCTCTAATCCGAGCGTCTTGAAACAAACCCCAGCCTCTTTCGAGTCCCCAGCCCCGCAGCACAGTGGCTGGGAGGGGAGGACTCAGGTTCAGAGGCTCGCCAAAGACTGGAGGCCTGCAATTCCCAGCCTCGCCAGCACAGCCTCAGGAGTGAGCGGAAAAACCACGCCACCCCGCGCGGCTCCCGGGGGTGAAGGAGGGGTGAAAGGGTGAACCGGAGGGACGAGTGCCCGCAGCCTGCCGCGAAATCCAAGAGCCTGGCACCGCCGCCACCCGGAGCCAGGGAAGAGACTTTTATGAGGGCGCACGCTGGCTGATCCTTTCCAGTCCTGAAATGACGGAGCAAATATAGGTCGCTCAGGCAGACTGCAGCGCTCTCGCTGTTTCTTCATAGGGTCGGTGGCTGAAGCTCACGTGAATTTTATTGTCCCACAAATCTGTTAGCTTTCAAAGGCAGGTTCTTCAACTAATAATCTACTTAAGTTGACCGCCCCCCCGCCAAAAACCCTTATGTTAGTTCAGACTTTCCACTGATGCCAGGACCTTATGTTCCTTTATTTTCCATTAAAACAAGTAACAGTCGCTTTTTTTAAAGCCCTTCCCAGATTCCTCCTGTAGTTTTGAGATCTGCCCTCGCCCAGCCTGCTTGCCCCAATACCCTTTTTACAGCTCTTTCCCAATTTCCTTACAAGAATACCTCCCCCCTTTTTTTAACCAAGCACTTAGACTTTTGTCAAACTTCGAGTTTGGTGGTTTATTCCAGTGGGCATTGGAAGCAGAAGAAAGAACAGTCTGAAATTTATTGACTGTCCTTAGAAAATTTAACCGTTTTTAAAGGTGACTAACATTATAACGGAAAAGTTCTACTTTGAGTTATGCAGGCACTAGCATCTCTGTTATTCCAGTATGTCTCTTGAAGTGGTAATGCAGAAGCAGACAGCTACCAACATGTTTAAGAATCCACTCTATCTAAAATTATTGTAAATATGAAGTTTACCAAGCTACATCCTTCCCACCTACTATGTAAAATGAAAGTTCTCCTATATTATTTGTCTGAGCTTGGTAAATAAAATTAGGTGCCTCACCCTGTGATAGAATTACTTTTATCCAATGCAATAGGCTGACATGTAACTGCTGTGATGTTTACTGTATTTCCTTTAGACTTGGGTCTGACGAAACCTTACTAGCAATCTTCTGTTGTACATGACCAGTTCCTGCAAGGGACTTAGGTACTTCTACAACTGGGGCTCTCTGCCCCTCAATCTAAAAAGAGCATGAAAGTCTTAATCAAGGTTCCTTTTCTAGTTGGTCTTCACTAACTTATTTCCAGTACATGTTTTATTTTTAAAAATTTTTTTCCAACATATTAGAACATATAGCATAAGTCCAAAGAGTGTCCATGGAAGAACAATACACCTCCTTTTTCATAAACTGAATAATTTGTCTGTGTCATCTGTATTAAACTGGTACCTGTCCCCGAATTGCTAATGTTAGTATTTTTATTTTCATTTGCCATTGATTTCTATAAAATAATAAAACAAAGCAACAAAACAGCAATACTCAAATTTTAAAAACAAAACAAAACAGCTTTTTCTTTAATAAAATCTTATCTGGACTCCCAAAACAGAACTGTTACAAGAAGCCATGTGTTGAGGCCAAGAGAGCTGGTAGATCTTTGGGCCAGCCAGGTCCTTATCTCCAGGGAATTTGTTCGAAATGCAAATTCTCTGTCCTCACTGAATCAGAAATACTGGGGGTGGAGCCTAGCAATCTGTTTCAATAAGCCTTCCGAATGGTGTGGTGCATGTGAGGGTTTGAGAACCATTGCTCTAGGCCCAGGACATCTGAGAACAGGGACTAAAAACGACTGTAATAAAACACTCAAATAAAGTTCACAAACACCACAGTTCAATCAGTAACGACCAAACTGTTGGCTGACAGATGGTGCCACCACCAAGGAGTTCAAAATGTCAGAGGATGTACAATTTACCAAAGGGAGATTGTCACGTACAACTGGTGACAGTGAAGATGTTTTGTGAGTGAGTCAAGGCCTTCCCCCACCCATCTCCCTGGCACCTTGAAAGGCTTTCAGTGGCCACGGCAAGTGAGAGGGGTCCTCCCCAAAGAGGACCAGTAGGGAACATTCACTTGCCACCATCACTCTAGCCACCTGAATAATGTGAGCGCTAGAATATGCTTTCATTAGACTTGAGTGTGTGTTTTAGGGTTCAAAAAAACAAGAAAAGCAAATACAAATGCCCTTAGGGCCTTCTCAAAGAGAGGACCAGAGACCAGCAGCATCTAGGAACTTGTTAGATAATCAAAATCCCAGGCCCTATCCCAGACTTATTGAATCATAATCTGCATTTTAACAAGGTCCTCAGGAGATTGATATGCAAATTAAACTTCAAGATGCTCTTTCTTACACAGGGGACCTCAACAGTGGGTACACATTTGGAATTGCCTGGCATAACTTATAAAAAATTCCACTGCCTGGTCTGCATCCCAGATGGATTATATCACAGTCTTTGGGGGTGGGACACAGGCATCGGTGCCTTTTAAGTTCCTCAGGTGCTTCCAATGCAAAGCCACGTTTAAAAGAACCATTGGCCTTGGAGGAACCAGGTAGGAAAGGTGACAGAAAAGTCAGCTAGAGAGAGACTGGAGCCCAAGTGGCTGGTCTTACAGGAAGCATCTGGAGCTAGAGTTTAGCGATTGTTGCCACACAGGGACGTGAGCCCAGATTTGCCAGACCTTTCCATTTTCAAAGAGAATCTGGAAATCCAGATTTGTATGGGCGATTTCTCAATTATTAAATGCTGGCAATTATTTCAACATTGTTTGAAACCTGGATGAGACCACATCAGTGTGATAACCATCAATTTATGGTTCTATGATGCTGTGCATCATAAAATCAAGAGGGCCTAAATATATATGTATATTTGGCCAAGAAGATGATTGACATGCTGGAGTGTCAAACTGTTGATCTAAAAGCCATGTACGTTGAATCTTCTGTTGACGACAGCACCAAACATTATAGGTACTCAATGACTGAGAGTTGGTAATAGGAGAAATACCAGTGCTAGCAACCCTGGGGCAAAATACTACAGAATTTTGCCTAATACTTTTATTTTTCCCTCCCTGCCCTGATAGCTGAAGTGTTTGGGAGGGGGGACAAATCAGTCTTCGTATTACTTAACTTAAAGTCTACTTTTGTGAGCCAACCAGATTAAACACATATTAAAAGAAACATGAAAAAATTATTGGCTGGAATACTTCTTAGCATTTTGTTGTTTCCAGACTTGTACAAACTGCTTCCCTGATCATAATCTATGCTTTGGGCATTCTTATCTCCTTGAGCTCTTTAGTTCTCATATTTGGGGAGTAAGACTAAATAAATCAACCAGTGTGAGATGGAAGTAAATGAGCTACCATAGTGACAGTTTCAGTTAAATTTTACTTACTTGGTATTGGCTCTCAAAATCCCCTATAATAAAGAAGCCAGACTTAAAGTTACAACACAGTAATTTCAGTTCAGTTGATAAAATAGAAAACATAGAAACAAATATTTGTATAGTTATTTTCTTTAATGCAAGGGCCACTTTTTATTGTTGAATAACTCCAGCAGCTAATAGACTTCCTGGTTCATTGTAGGTACTCAATAAGGGAGAAAGATCTGGAGGGTTAAATGGGAAAATATATTCGCTAATGATACATCAGATAGAGGTCTGATCTCCAACATATATAAAGAACTCACTCGTCTCCACTCCAAGAAGACAAACAATCCGATCAAAAAATGGGCAAAAGACCTGGGCAGACGCTTTTCCAAGGAGGAGATACAGAGGGCCCAGAGCCATTTGATAGGATGCTCAGCATCACTAGCCATCAGAGAAATGCAGATCAAAACCACCATGAGGTACCACCTCACACCAGTCAGAATGGCCATCATAAACAGATCAACAAACAACAGGTGCTGGCGAGGCTGTGGAGAAAAGGGAACCCTAGTCCACTGTTGGTGGGAATGCAGACTGGTGCAGCCATTGTGGAAAGCAGTGTGGAATTTCCTCAAAAAGCTGAAAATGGAACTGCCTTTTGATCCAGTGATTCCCCTGCTGGGACTATACCGTAAGAATCCCAAAATGCCAATTCAAAAGAACCTATGCACCCCAATGTTCAAAGCAGCACAATTTATAACAGCCAAGTGTTGGAAGCAACCTAAATGTCCATCAGTAGCTGACTGGATCAAAAAGTCATGGTACATTTACACAATGGAATACTACGCAGCAGTAAGAAAAAAAGAACTACTAAACTTCGTGACAGCATGGATGGAACTCGAGGGCATTATGCTAAGTGAAATAAGCCAAGGGGCGAAAGATAAATACCATATGATCTCACCTATAAGTGGAACCTAACCAACAATACAAAGATGCAAGGAAAATAAGACCAGCAACACTGAAAGGAAAAGAAACCAACAGAGACAAGAGGGAAGAAGCGGGGGGGGGGGGACAGGGTAAAAGGAAGGGAAGGGGAAAGTCAAGGAACATATAGCAAGGACTCATGGACAAAACCAAAGGGGAAGAATTGAGGGAGA